CCCGAGTCTCTTAAAACATTACTATCACACTGTCTATGACATCCACCTATCAAAGACGTAAACCTGTCTAAGACAAGCATCAGATCTATACAAACAGTCATTTCCCTTCCCCCCCTTCCCCATAGTTTTTTTTCTCCCCGACATTACAAAGACACTGTCCAAGAAGTGTCTGAGACGGCCACTTTTCGCCTTCACCACGGGTGGCCAGGCCGCCTTCGACAATTTTTACTGTTGTTCATTTGAGACCCCAAAAAAAAAAAAAAAAAAAAAAAGGTTTGACTCAATTTAGTTGTGGAGGCACGGTTACGAGAGGGGCCACCGACAAAGATGGACCTGATTCTTGAACAGGACGGCGTAAAAATCCCGACGTGGGCCTAATGGAAGATGGAGAGTCGCTGGACCTTGCCCAGGTTGTTGGCCAGTTTCCCGAGCGACTTCTTCAAGGCCGGCACGTCGTTGAGCACGTTGTCCTCCGACAGCTGGATGGACGGGTTGTTGTGCTCAGAGTTCTCCAGGTCTGGGCACCCACAAGACACGGGGAAAAAAACAAAAAACAAAAAAACAACTTGAGCGAATGCGGGCAGCCAGGGTACAACCAACAGTGAGGAATAAAAAATAGAAATGACAAACAAAACAAAAGAACCCCTTAAAACAAAAAAGGAAAGAAATCTTTTGCATTCAGACAAAGCAAAACAAAAATGTTTGATAAATATACAAATAGAAAGTAGGTCTTTTCATAGAAATTCATTCAAAAAATCTTTGGTAATATAAAAATACAAAGTATAAATACAAAGTATAAAGAATTTTCAAAGAATCCTTCTCAGTCCCCGCTCTTTGAGTTTTGATACATGATCTTAGAGCAGCATCCATGATACAGCTTTGCCTGGGTGCTAGACATAACGGAAGTAGATCTTAGTGCAGTAATGCATGATGCAGCTTTACCTGAATGGTAGACATAACGGAAGTAGATAGCCCAAATACTACTCCCCTCCTCCCTTCAGAACTTGACTGCCTTCACATGCTCCAAATAAAAGACATCGTCAATACGTTTGAAAACACAGATAATATAAAAGCCAGAGACGCCGCTGCGATTTTGTAAAAATATCTGAACACATCTATAAAATTGCAGTTGCAAACAAAAAGAGGTAATTGACACAACTAATATGGGGTCAAACCGATAAAAAAAAAAAGTAACAATTACAACCTGTTTCTTCTAATGTAAATAATATGCAAACAACAGACACCCCCCCCCCCTTAAGAAAACCCATGAGAACCGTCCCCAACTGACCAGTGACTTGCTGCTCCAGTATCTGTAGCTGTCTCTCGATGTCCGAGTGTGTGCGGGTCACGTGCACCAGAAGGTTTCGCTCGCAGTCTTTGTACGGGTCGGCAGACTCCTCCGCTGTGTCCGTCTGTCACAATCGCACAAACATTTGGTTAGTAATGAGAATTTCACGGAACTTGCAACACAAATAGAAGGTCAAATAGGTTCTGAAGATGAGAGGCGTTACTAGAGAGTAACATACATAGAAAACACAGAGCACAGTTCTTAGTTTCAGTAAGAATTTTACGGAACTTGCAACACAATAAGATATAAATGCTGAAGATAGATTAGATGTGTTACTAGAGAGTTGTTGTTGTTTGTTGTTTTCAAATCCCTTTAGCTGCGAGCATTTCGCTCTTGGCAGCGCAATGCCTCCCTCAAGTAACCACATGTCCCTGTCATCTGGTCAACGCCAGAGTAGAGCAGACCAAAGTAACAAACAAAGAAAAGACAGAGCAGAGCACTGCGATTTTAGAAAAATATCTGAACACATCTATAAAGTTGCCTTTGCAAACAAAAAGAGTTAATTGACACAACCAAAATAGGGTTAAACAAAATAAATGCTAAGATTTCTTTTAATGAAAAAAACTGCAACAACGAAC